TGGGTTCTAGTAAGTATAATCCTATCTGCCACAAAATACAAACTTTGTTGTCCTGTGTTATCAGTTCTGTGTGTCTTTTTAACACAACATGAGATACCATATAATAGAAGTATTACATTAAGAAGATACATTTAATACAGCCATAATAAAAAATGCATTATGTATTTATATTACAGGTTTTGTTTTTCATACTTCTAGTGAAAATTTCCAGTAAAATGTTTTGGAGTATATAATTTTTTAAAGATAAAATCATATTCCTTTAAGAAAAAAAGAATGTAGGGTATACTCACCTTCTTACTGTTCTGTTGAAATTTCTTTTTGTTTCCACTTTCACTAAAATGCTGACATTGGAGTTGAAGTAGGCCTATTCTAATATACTACGCAAATACCAATGAATTCTGACTTCTTGGTGTGCTGTAGTAGGAATGTTTATGGAGCCATCTTTCTTCAGCATTCAAGTAGAGAAACACTCATTTCTGTGAGATATTAATATGATACATTATTTGATCAACTTCCAAGTGTTGAATCACTTACTTCCTATCACACAGCTGTTGCATTTATTATCTATCTTTTAAGATATAAGCTCATATGTTAGTACTGACATTTTATTTGCATAAATATTGCCAAGTAATGTTGCGCTATGTCCTTTTGTTTGTATCCTCACTGCATATAGGGATGAATGCTCAGTGTGAAGTTTTACTCATGATGTCGGCTTTCATAACTTGGCTACGGTGAAATTTATCAGATTTCTTCACTGCAAAGATGATTCTTTCATTTCTGAAAGTTTCTAAGGTCAGCTCATTGTCAAGGAGATTGGCAAGAAGAAAGCTTAAAATTCTGGTTGGTACAGGAGGGTTTGCAGAAGTATCTACCTGTATTACTTCAAAATCTTTTATTAGGAACAATTATTAGCTCATTCAATTAATTGCTTATGCAATTATTTGCTTCCGATAGCATAAAATCATTTATGTTTACTTTGTACTTTGAGTTACAATCCAACAGAGATGAAGTATCTAGTATCCAAAATACTTGCAACCAGAACTGTTTTAGATTTTGGAATATTTTCTCTACATAGTGAGTCAAGTTGGAGATGGGACCAAAGTCTAAGCATGACATTAAATAAATTTTAAAATATACCTCTTATACTTGTAGCTAAAGGGTATATCATAGAATATTTTGGGGCACCTATGTTTTGACTGCAATCTTTCATGTGTGAAATTTTCTACTTCTGACACCAAATTGGAATTCATAATGTTTCTGATTTTGAGGCATTTCAGGTTTACTGACAGTGTTGCCCAACTTGTATTAGTGTACACATTTGTTGCTTTCATTCTCCTAGCTTTGACCATTGGGACATCCATGAGGTTGTCTACTATGCTTTCTTGAAATATCTTTTCTTATTTATTTATTTAGCACACTCTTACTTTCTTATACTATGTCATGTCTATTTTCCCTCCCTCAGGTGTTTTGCTACCAATTTTGACTTACGATTGACATGTTATATACCTGTTGAAGTTTACTCCTTTTTCTCCTGTGTTTAATTGTTTGCCATATTTAGTTGGTTGCATCTGATCTCATTCATGGAGTTCTGGTCATTTTGGTCCCTCTCTAGAACATCTTTC